CTGCCTCCATTTCTCTCCATCACACAGCAATTCCCTCTGTCTCTCTCTGCTGTGGGGGGTTTTCTGCGCCGTACACGCTCACACACACACACACACACACACACACACACACACACACACTCATACCGGTTTGTCACACTTCATTCCTCTCTCAGCCTCCATGTCATTTTCCACTTGTCACGTTGTTCTTTCTGTCAAATCCATTTTGGTTTTCTCCAAGTGCATCAAATCTCACTGTCACCTGGGAACTCACGGTCTCTCACAATGTCTGAAGGTGTCTTAAACACTATAGAACGTTCTTAATATTCAGCAGAGAACAGTTACAGTGCAACTGCTACCCGCAGGGCTACTTGGTGAATTACTGTAGCTGACATGCTAACGCTAGGCAGATTATAAAATGTGGTCATTTTACATGCTGCCGTGACCTGGCCTATAATTAAACACAATCTGTTTATAGTACAGTCACTGCACCTGGAATACTCTTCAGTCAGTTTCAATTTGGCAGGCTGGTCATGCGGTTTCTTTACTTTAGAGTTATAACCTTAAAAAGTTACTAAATTTGTTTTTTCAAAAGCTGCTGATGACGTCGTGTTTCAATCTGTCTCACGTTTATCTTCTCCTTCTATCTTTGGACCGCTCTTCTTTTTCTTTCCTTTAATCTTTGCCTCTATGTTTCTAGACACACCCTATAACTGTACGGCTGCACTTAACAGCACTGATATGGTGACCCACCCACATGTGTACACACACACACACACACAGCATGTACATCACTTCCTTTGGGCAGCTCTTCAAAGAAAGCTCAGAAATGTGTGGTTCTCCCATAGTCACAGTGAGATTAGTTTTAAAGAGACATACACACACATTCCATTAAGTTCTCAGCAGTCTAAGTCTATTAATCGTATTAACATGCCAATGTTCGTCCTCTGGATCCTGTCCAGTCTGGACACGTGGACGCTAAAACCTTCAGCGTTAATTTCACTAGACAGTATGTTTATATAAGATCAGCAAAAGTGAATTGTACAAATATACACGGTGTTGAACAATTGCCCCAGAGACACGTCACAATCAGGATTTTTAAAAGTCAAATATAACACCTTTTACGTTATTCTACCTGTGTCCTGCCCAATCACGTGCAGCAGAACAGGAGAGTCTGGATGGTATAAGCCTTTTACCAGCAGACATTTTGACTTGTCCTGCAGGAAAAACGATGGCTCCGTTCTATTCAAGAAAGCCGCAGTGAGCCAGCCGGCACGATACCAGGAGCCTGAAACTGAAGCATCTAAATGGAATGCAGCCTTCAATGTCAAAAGGTTATCGTTCCGCCTGTGCACGCTAACACAGTCCTGATGCTGCTGCGTTCCCTTCGTGTCGACCTCAGTCAATGTTCATGACACGTATCATGATAATTGATGATGCAGATTGCTGGACTTGTGCTACTTGTAGCTCTCTCAGAGGTGCTGTACCCACAGAGATGATGTGCACGTTTCAGATGCCAATATGATTTTTGAAAGTGAAGAAAACATAAAGCAAAATAAAGTAAGTGAGTGAAAGAAAATAACATGATTACTCTGCGGCTTAGTCTCTTTTGTGGTGATTAGTCCAGATAAATAGCAGACATTTGCCATTACCCTCCCAAATCTTTGCATCATGGCTCCAAATTACAAAGTAAATGAAAGAACGTGAACATAATTATAATACATATTAAGTGTAGTTTACTCCCTGAAAGAGTAGTTATCTACTGTTGAGCAATGAGCTCACAAAATACCAAATCTGTTTAATTGGAGTACAGCTACTAGGGGGACGTCAGACATACTTACTTTCCATTTTTTGAGCATGAAACGCATGCCTAAAATGTCTAAAATTGCTTCTTGCTTTTCGTGTAAAAGTCGAAGGTGCAGAATGTGGCATTCGGGCACAGTTCGGGCACAGTTGGAAGGTTTGTGATTTCCTAAATAATCTTGGAGTAGCCAAACAGCGTTGCAGTAAGGGGATTAGGCTCCTGGCTTTGTTTTGGGTCTGTGGTTGTTTTGAGGAGCTCAGAGTCGAGCCAGAGGGAGGACTAAACTCTCTCTCTCACTCTCTTTGAATGTTTTAATAAGGCTGGTTATCAGCCATGTTGTTCCAGCAACTGAAACTGGTGTGGGAGACAAGTGGGTCTCCAGTTCCCATGAGAGAGAAGGACAGACAGAGAGAGAGAGAGAGAGGGTGAAGAGAGTTAATGAGAAAGGAAAATGAAAAGCCTCTTTTCTTGTTACTCGAAGATTAAAGTATTTTTAGCTCCTTTTGTTTTTTACTATTGAGCATTTTTATAGACTGAACAATCGCTTGATTGACAATTTCAACGATTGAAATAACCAATAGTTGCAGACCTTAATAACAAACGTCCCCGTACAATATACAGGCGAAGATACTTTGAAGGAGTTGGTCGGGATATGTGTCCGTCATTGAACGTTTCCCTGTCCCGCAGCCACTTAATTGTGATTGGTCAATGCTAGTTTGCCTTCAGAAGGAAGTTGGCATTAGCCTCATAATACTAGCGCTGATCTGTGTTTACAGCAGTCCTACTGTGAGTTACTAACACAGCTCACAATTCTTCAAATGCTGCAAGTAATTTACCTGAGCAGTAATTAAAGGACTGTAGATGTTGTAAAGTATAATTCTACAACAACACGGGCTACTTTAAGCCTAAAATGTACCCAGAAACTATTTTTTGTGTAACATTTAAAAGACATTTCACACTTTCGAAGCTGCCATGTTGATTAGTCTTTTTACAGGTCCGTCATTAGTCTTAAAGCAGCCATAGGGTGTAGTGTATTAGTCCACCCTGGTGACGGACGGCTTCAGGTTGAGGGAGTTTGAGTAAAGTAGTATAACGCCAAGATGTCACAGCCTATTGAAGTAACACGAATGCTTCTTGAGCCTTGCCAGACCACTTTAAGCAACAGTGGGCTGGCTCTGCACGGCTGAGCACGACATACTGACTATGACTGAATAATGTCACTTGTCTGCAGATGCCTGGATATGATTGAATGCAGAAGATCTCTGGGCAATTAAATCCTTCAAAAGCAATGCAGACTGTCAACTGTCACCGTGACGTATTGCCTTTCATCCAGTTTGTATTTCCTCTTTCTGGCAACTCAGGAATAAAGACTGAGAAGAGAAGGAGAACAAAGGGAGGGAAATGAAGTAAGAGATGTGATCAGGCAGACAAACGAGGTGTTAAGGGAATAACGGATGGCGAGAAAAAAATGTCATTGCAGTGTGTTGTTCACCGTACAGTCGCCATAACAATGAACCCAGATTAGCCCCATTAATCTCCTGCTGGCCCTCGGCATGTGTGTTACAGAACATTGTTCCTATACAAAGACACTCATTCACACACACACACACACACACACACACACACTCGCACTCGCATACTAAAGCGCTCACGCATACAGTACATGTAAACACACACTTGATCCGAGCCAACAAGTGCAGAGGAAGTCTTAGCCCGAGGCGATGGCTTTTTCCAAAAGGAGTGAAATCAGAGCCGTTTGCTAATGAGGCCTGATGAACAGATACTCTTATTCTGCTCTTCTACCCGCCTCACACTCTCACTCACTTTCTCCCCCTTTTCACTCGCTTCCCCTTTTTCCTCTGTCGCTGAATACATTTGGGCTAATTGTCTGCTGCTGATTGAAGCTCTCGCAAGGCTTCTCAGCTGCGCTGCTGTTCAGAGAAAGAACACTGCAGCGTTTCAGTGCTGCTCCGCTGCTTAATATGCGCTGATAGAAGAAGTAAAACCTGAAAATAAAAAAACACCTGCTCTCACAGCCGGCGCATTCATTAGCGAAAGGTCTCTCTTTCTGAGTAAACATGACGTTAAACCAGAATATACTTTTCATGATATCTTCTCTACCCCGACGTCAGAGATGAAACTAACAAGGGATTATCCTGCAGGCTTTTACGTGATGATCACAACATGTTTTTATTTGGTACATCATCATCATCAACATAAATTATTTGGTAGCCACTTAAATTATCCACATCTGTTTCTTGATACTGCTGAAACTCCCAAAGCCTCTGTGAAAGCCAGCTTTGTTTTGTTTTGACAAAAACAAAACAAGTTTGCCTCGGAGGTAAAGCGACTGTTAATTCAATTATAATTGAAACATCTGCCAACGTTTAAAAATACAAAAACAATATGTCTCCATGAGCAGGGTCGGGACAAACAAAACATACTCCACATCAGAAAATACAACCCCCAAAAAGTTCTTCTTAAACCATGTCATTTATTTAAGAAATGAGATTCCAGGGCAGTTTACTGCTGTACATATAACTTCCTCATCAACGACATGGTTCTGCCTCAAACCAGCTGGAAACCTTGAGGATATCTGAAGTGTTCATGTCCATGCAGCCTCATTGAGTGAACGCTTTATAAATCTTATTTTTTATAAGCACTTGGTTGGAAACTGAGCCGCTGAAGTCTCTGTTCTGAAGAAGCATTTGCATACAGGTTTTAATGGATGCTCATGAAAAGCAGGAATGTCAAAGCTGTCTTTTTGTGTTTTGCTGGATTCCCTCAGTGTTTGTTTTGAGTCAGGAAGGAAGGGCTGTGTTGAGGCAGATAGACGGACAGATGGATGATAGCTGCTATCTCTGAAAACATTCGCACCTCTTTTTTTTCTATCATCTCCGTCTCTTTGCACATGTAGTCAAAAGCAATGCTGTTCAGAGATCAATTGGTATTTTACCTGAGAACAATCACTGAGGACAATCACTGCGTCAGATTGTTCGTATGTCTTCCGTCCATCTGCGTTTGTGCTCTGAACTCGTTCATCCATCTCACAGCCCTCCTCCCCCTCCAGCCTCTTATAATAAAGCCCTGTACTGTTGGAGAGAAATCTTCAAGGTTTAACCGTAACAGTCGGATAAATCAAGGACGGAAATGCAAACATAGGTTTGTTTGTCTCTGTGAACACATGACTTAACTCTTTCCTCTCCTTTCCTCTCAGGGCTCTGGTGTTGATTGTCCACGGGGCCGGGGAGCACTGTGGGCCGTACGATGAGATCGCACAGAAGCTGAAGGAAGTGTCGCTGCTGGTGTTTGCACACGACCACGGTGAGTCACAAACGCACATTACATTACATTAATAAGCTCACACCTACACTCATGGGTGCCCCATCTGTAGTTCAAACACAGCTTACGCATCGGTTCAAAGAAAGCCCATCATCCCCCTCTCTGCCCGATTCCGGCCCTTGTGTATTGTTGAGTGAACAAAGCTTAATCAGGCTCGTTGGGTACATTGTTCTATGTTGGTACATCGAGGAAAACTTCACAAGTGCTGTTGTGAATGAAACTTCTGGCTCTGTTCATGTTGAAGTGAGTCCTCAGCACTGGACAGACTGGCTGTGAGCTCAGACAACAAACTGGTGTTTCAGCTTTTAGCTGATTCTCAAGGCTGGAAATGACAAAACCGAACATCAGGTTGTAACAGTTAATATTACAAAACACAACTGAAGGATTCTAATCAGTACAGCTGTTGATGTTTTTGTGATGGACTTGGTTGAAATCTGCTCGGCCACACTAGCAGCATCTCTGTATGGAGGTCCACAAATATTGGATGGATTGAAATATGGTGCAGAAATTCATGATCCCCAGATAATGAATCTCAATGACTTTTAATATATCACAAGGTTGATATTTTGGGTTGTGAGTGTCTCTACAACTTTGGATAGATGATATTTGGTAAAGACATTCATGTCCCCCATCAGGATGAATTGTAATAACTTTTCATCTAGTGTCATCACGTTAATACCAAAATACTTTATGCTTTACATCTAAAAACCATTCAGCCTCAGCTGTGCTTTTAATCAGATCATGTGTGCTAACATGTTAACATAAGTTGGGGAACATTGTAGCCCAGCTGCTAAACATCAGCATGATAATTTGGTTCTTTGTGAGCATGTTAGCACGATGATGATAGCGTTCATTTCAAAGGACTCCTGTGGCTATAAGCACAGTCCCACTGAGCCATTACCATGGCCGGTGACACTTCGGCACAACTTGTTACCCGGAAAAATTCACTCATCCAGTTTCTCAGGTTGCACAGGGCATGTTTTTCTGTGGATGTAACTAACGAAACCTTTCCCCAACTAAATGTAAAATGCGTTCGAAAAGAAACATTTAATAGAAACAGAAAAATGCCTAAATGTTTTCGCTTGATAGGAAGTAGTAATTAGGTATTAGCAATCTCTTCTCTCATACATTCCTCCAACTAGGTGCTCTTAGGCGAGGCTGTGTGGCGTTGCTGGTCTTAGATACAGCAGGAATGTGTGAATGTGTGTGACCGTGCAGCAAAGAGACGAGTAGGAGAGACCGCGAGATAGACGGTGAGAAGGCAAAGACTTAACGTCCCAGCTGTAAATGTAGAAATATTTGCAGAGGTAGACGTCTCAATGAAGAGCTGCAGAGATGATAAAAAAAAAAGCAGTGATGAGGATGACTGAGGCTGCTCACACAGGAGCAGTTTGTTCAGTGGTTCGCAGTCAAATGTCACACTGTTAAATGGAAAATACTGAACTGGAACAAGTCCCTGTAGACACTAGTTTTCCATCTATCTATCTCACACACACACGAGCACACACACACACACACACACACCGCCTCGGGCAGCCCCTGATAGAGTTCAGCAGTTGAGATCTTTCACATATTCTTCCTCTTTCACAATTTCCTCTGTCTCGCATGTAATTCTTTCTAATTATAGGACTTTTAGGTGTTTTTCCCTCGCAGCCTGTACAGACCGGAGGTTTGTTCCATCTGTCACACACTGCCGCTATTTACCAGATGACAGCCTCCAAATATGGCACGGTGGCTGCATGGTTAATTCACTCAGAATGTAACAGCAAAACGCCACACTGATAGCTGGGGACACATGAAACATTGAGTCTTTTGTAGACTGTGGACGCGATGATGGATGCATATCACTTGACTCATATTACACCAACACTGACATTTCACGTTGAAGCACGGATGAAATATTCACAATGGAGTGTTTGTTTGGTGATGCTCAAATCATGTTTGTCCTCCCATTACGGCAATGGACAATATTGGAATTGTGACAGTTAATTAGATCGGCGTTTCTGCATCCATCAGTCCCTGCAAAGATTTATTTCCTACAATGGCCGGATTGAAGAAGCTACCTCAAGAGGCCATTATCTGGAAAAAAATAATAATTGTTTTTTGTTTGATTGAGTTTATTTTAGACATAAAAAAAAACGCATCCCTAATTTCACATCCATAAGAATCTAAGTTTGTCAGTATGCCATACAATCACATCACACAGCCTCTGAAGTGTGTCAGGTGCAGCTTTTGTTAAGATTCACACAAGCCTTTGTTCAATATCAGACATGTTTTACATTGTTACAGCAGTGTTTCAGTCTGTTATGATTCATTATCTGTTTAGACTCCTCTTGGTCACAATACATTAATAATCACTATCTGCTTACAGCTACATTATAGTGTGTTAGAAAGCATTTATACGTGTACATACTGCTAAATAGAGTGCATATTTCTCTTTATATAATTATTAAAGTCACCTTGGGCTATAATTACAACTTTGTGATATTTTAAAGACAAAACAATCAGTTAATCAAAAAAGTAATCAAGAGATTTACCAATATTGACAATAATAATTAGATGTTGCCTAAATTCTGTTCAACCATGTAATTCTTCATCAACACCTGTGGCCACCCATGGTCACACCTGTGTCTTAAAATCAATGGTGCACTTTTTTACAATGTTATTAGCTGTAAACAGCACGCACAATTGATCTTAAGATGAGTTAACTGGAGACAAAACATTTGTTGCGGTTCTTAGTCGTGCAGCAGTGGACGTCAGTGTTTATATGTCTGTGTGTGTGTGTGTGTGTGTCCGTTGTCTGAAGTGTGCTCATGTGTGAATATCGGTTTGTGTCGAGTGTATCAGAAGATGTGCACTCCGTAGAGTGTGAGGTCATTGATCTCATGTGGGAGGGGGGGATGCAGTGAGCATCGAACTGGAGTTTGCAGCGCGCCGTCACTCTCTGCTGCCGTGATTGGACATTGATTTCCGCGCTGTGATGATCGCTTTGCTATCGACGAGGGAGAACAAAAAACATGTCGTGCGAAGACATCTTCGTATATACGGCGCACATACAGAGTATTTATAAAATACACACATACACAGTATTTATAAAATATACACACACATACTTGAGATTGCAGAGCGAGAGCAGGAAGGTGTGAGCGGCACATGTTGTGAATGTTTAGGTGCTTAGTGATGATATTGGCTCAATAGTTGCCATGGCAACCCTCCTCACCTCTCAACCACTGCTGCAGAAAGCTGGAGGAGACGACACACAATCTATGTATGCATAGACATAGACATACATATTCATATATTTTCCCCTCCTCGCCATCTGTCAGTCAGATTTTCTCTCCTTACTGTCTTTGTCTCCTCACCTCCTCAACCATTTGTTAGATACTTAGTTATCCAATTCTGGAGTTACTACACAACAGTACAGTTCTTTTGTACAGTACAGTTCCTCCGCCTTCACTCTTTTCATTTCACTTTCCTCACTCTTCTTCTCCTTCTTCCTCTCGTCACCCTGTTCTCTTCATTCCCCCCTTTTCTTTGTCCTCCCTATTCTTTCCTGTCCCTTTCTTCTTCTTCTTCTTCTCACCCTAACCCAGGGGTACATGCAGCGTCCTTTGTTTTGATCGTTCCTTGCTCCATCCTTAACCCAGACGACGTTCCGGTCCGCCGTCATGAAGGTCCTCTTCTATTGGAAATCTGTTAGTGATTGGATGCTGCAGCTGATCGTACAGCTCTGATACTACCTTGCAGTTTTATACTGGAGTGGACAAACGGATAACACACAATAGTTCATCGGTAGGTTTAATTGACAAAAGAACCTTAGAAGGATCCTTAGAAAGGTTCCTCCTCATGATTCTCCTCATGATCCGTTATTTTCCGTTTTAATCTATATCGTGAATCATATAGTCATGGAGATGGGGAGAGTCTGTTGTCTTTCAGTAACAAACACATTTAAATCTTCACAAGTGAGGCTGAAAATCCTTGTTGGTCGGGTAGAAATACAATTGTTTAGGGTAAGATATATTTACATGACTTACGCTTCTAATCATAGCCGGGATCACTGAATAATGAATTTACATGCAGAATATCAATAAGTGCAGATGCAAATCATCAAAGGTGTTGCTGCCACTAGAAATGGTTCATGTTGCATTCAGTGTCTCTCTTTCTTTGTCACCTGCTCCCTCCGTTCCTCCCCTTTCTCACTTCTGTTCATATCCCTTTCCTCTCTTCTACTTCGTCCCTCCTCATCCTCACTGCTGTCTCTCCCTCCATCCGCCATCTGCCCTTATATTCCTAGTTTATAGTTTCAGCCAGTTTCCTCCCTCTTTTCCTACACAGTTGGCCATGGTCAGAGTGAAGGAGAGAGGATGAACGTCAAAGACTTCCAGGTTTACATCAGAGACTCACTGCAGCACGTTGACCTGATGAAGTCCTGCCACCCAGACCTGCCCGTCTTCATCGTGGGTCACTCCATGGTAGGACACTCTCCATGTATTATTATGCTGTTAATTACAGATTCAACTGGGGGTCATTCTGTGGACAGTGAAACTCTCACTATTGTCGATGTTTTGTTTAGTGTGAAATGACATAATATTGTCTCAGAGCACCTGGTACAGTGTACTTGACACGCGCACACACACACACACACACACACACAAGCAGAGGGACAACTGCATGAAGTTGATGTGCAAGCCTTGTTCAAGCACAGGAAAGAAAAATACTGAGATCAGTGTTGTTCACTGTGAAAATGTGACATTCAAATAAAAAGAAAAGGAACACGCTCTTCTATCAGTGTGAAGGGGTTTTATGTCCCAAAATAGTCGGCCATAAAAAAAACACAGAACATGGTATTCTGCATGAAATCTGACAGAATAACAGGGTGTTTTATTATTACTTGCACTTTCAAGAAATAACTGTATAATGCAGTGAAATGCTTAGACACCATGCTTTCATTGACATTTTATTTGGTTTGGTGTGATGAAGTAATTCCACCATCCACCTGCAGGAAAACAGTTCAGGGACGGTTTGCTCCGTTGCCTCTTCTCGGTAAACTTACCTTTCACACAGTGACACAGATTGTGCTTGTGCACAGCCCGCAGCAGCTGCTGCTGCTGGTGACTGTAACCCTCCAACAGGGCAGCTAACAGGTTCAGTGATCAGCTCAAGGGCAATGTGGGTCTATTGGTTGACGTACAAAAGACCGAATGTAATGTAATGGTAAACTGACCTTGACCCTGACGGCTTTGGCAGTTTTCACCTTTATCATCAATTCCAGGCGTCAGTGAGTATTGAGATATGGTCAATACAGCAGTCAGTGTCCTAATAGTTTCTATATATAAAAGATTTCTTCAGTAAATATAACGTAGGATTAATTATTTTATTTTTCAATGAATCCATTGATTATTTAGTTTAGTCTTACATTTTGGGAGCTGCACATATTTGCTTTCTGAGTTGCATAAGGAGTTCTCTCATATCTAAGCTGCAGCCAGCAGCTGGTTGGCTTAGCTTAGCATAAAGACTGGACACAGCTAGCCTAGCTCTGTCCAACAATAACACAATCCACCTACCAGCACCTCTAAAGCACATGTTGATTACAGAGATTTAGAAGGGCTGGTTACCTTCACACAGAGGAAGGTGGAGCTGTTTACTCCAGTTTCCAGTGCTAAGCTAAGCTAACAGGCTGCTGGCTGTATAGCCGTACATTAAATGTGCAGACATGAGAGTGGTGCCAATATTCTCATCTAACTCTGCCAGAAAGCAGTAAGCGTATTACCCAAAATGTTAAAACTTTTGCTTAAAAAGATTTCCCACAGCCCAAATAATTGCTAGGTATTAGTAGGAATTTGTGGTGTGCTTCGCACTGTTTTATCATAGAACATGCAAAAAAGTTGCAAATACAAAAACAAGTTTTATTTATTATTAATATCCACATTTTCTTGGTCTTCCGTTCAACTGAATTCAATTTAGGGAGTTAAAATTGTGTTAAATTCGATGCAGACAGCAGGAAAAAAAACAACCTTAAATTTGGCTGTATGAAATCTACCAGAATTCTCAATCAGACAAATGACATAATGCCTGGACACAAAATGCATCAAGGCCGGCCAGGGAACTATTTTTAACCATTCAGTTTCTCTCAGAGCGGCCTTCAACATCACACCCTCTCACTGCTTTGCTCGGTGACCCACTAACTCTTACTGCAGCTGACAGAACACAAACAGTATTGATGAGCAATATAATAAAAAATGACTGTCAGTGTTTGTAGGTCCGGTCAATTTGTGCTCCTTTGAACTCATTTGTCTCAGATGAGCAAGCCGCTCAGATTCAGTATTCATACAGAACGCACACATGTTGTCATGCATGCAGCTTTATCTGGTGTGTAATATCTCGTGTTGTATACGGAAGATGCCAACTTCACCGACACAGGATATGAAACAAGAGCGTCTTTGAGCAGAGTGCAGTCAGCACCTCCTTTGTTAGAAACATTTCAGGCCCAAAACACACACAGTACAGTTTGTTAGTCTTTTTGCTCACAGCTGGCAGACTCTTTTCAAGCAGGGAACACAGAGGATAAATGCAAATTCATTACAGAACTGGTCTGTAATGAGACGCATGGAGCCTTGTTATCTCACAGCTCAGCAGTGATTCAGTGGGCTTGTTGGATTCATCAGAAAAAAATGGTATTTTTTACAGAAGATATGACGAGCTTCCAACATCTATATTGTTGGAAAATATATTTAAATGTTCGAGACATTGAGCTTTTAACGTTAGTTAGTCAGTAACCCTGTCTATGAAGGCATCATTTATAAAGGTTTCTATGTAATGTGTCTTTATGATACTTTATAAATGCTTTAGCTCAGTAGTAAGTAATTCATGAGAACAACCTTTGGGTTTGAGGATCAATGCCTCTTCATGGTGTACTGTATGTACCCCCTTAGCATAACACCAGCTTTGTCTTTATACAGTTGCTCTTGTTATTTATCTGGAAGACCACCTCCATAGGCTGTTACATCACTTACCAGTTGGGAAAAGAGCCACAGAGCATTTCCAAGCCAGGGTTGAATATAAAAGGAAGCGTCTGTCTTCTGGGAAGGACTGTTGTTGTTTCAATGTTGTAGTGGAAGAACCCTTAAATAATGATTTATAGTTGCAGACCTGATGGCTTATAAAGTCAGAAATCGATTACATTCCGTTAATGACTTTCTTTTCTTTATTTACATCACACTGTCTTCTATTCAAGACAACAGCTTCTCTTTATAATGAGGTCATATTAAATCATCAGTCGGGCTTTCAGATGTTTCAAACAGCACTCCGTTCCCGAGTCTATTTTTGCAACCCTTCTTTGGCTTGTGCTTTACCGTGCTGCAGTACTGTATTTATATGAAGACTGACTCTGCATTCAAAACAACCCGAGGTCGTAGGAGCACGGACGCAGTGTTGTGTAAATTAAACTGTGGGATCCCAGATGGAGGCTTAGTGTGTTTAGACATCAGAGTCTGTAAATATCAATACAGAGCTGACCGAAGTCACGGTAGCACCTCCCTCCTTTCTTCCTTCTCCCCTCTTCTTTTCCTCATCCCCTCCTCCCTCTTTTCTCTCTGTTCTTTCCTTCCTTCTGTCCATCCCTCCATCGGCATCATTTTATCAGATGTTTGTTCTGTGCTGTCATGTAAGCCAGTGCACCGGTACCATCCCCCGCTTTCATTTCCTGTCTTCTCTTTCCTCCACAGTACTTCCTTTAATTTGTTTTGCTTTAATTTAATTTTCTCATTTCCTTTCTTCGTCCTTTTTTTTTTAAACTCCTGTTTCATTGTTATCCTTCCTGCCCTTCCTTTTTCTTAGTGTTTCTTTATTTTCATCTCCTCTCATATTACTCTCCTTTACTTTGGAAACAGATAAAATCCAGACCTTGACTTTGGGAAACCCAACCCAAATCCCTTATTGTGTTGCTATGTTGTTACAGGCCTCATTTCCCAGCTTCCCAGTGTTGTGACGCTTTCATCCTGTTTCTGTTAGCGTGTTCCTCTGCTTGTATGAATCTTTGTTTAACAGGACCAGGACGACGCAGAAACTTCAAGACCATGGAAACACCCTGTAGATTCTACAGTATGTGCAGACACGCTGCTGCAAAGATAACATCCTGAAGAGACTGTGGAGCAGTTAGCAGAGCCCAACAGTGTAGGTTTAGTGAAGAAAGATGTCCAACTCCTCACAAATCACCTGCACTGATGCACCGAGTTGTTTTTAATTAAAAAACGTTTGTTGAATATTTCACACTGAGCATAAGCTGAAAACAAATGGTCATGGATGGTGTAAGATTCAAGCTTCTTTAGCATTTTGTTATCTTTAGCCAAACAGCCGGCTAATGTCGGCCTGTTTGTCGGCTCTCTGCTTTGGTCCAGAGTGAAATATCTCAACACCTACTTGACGGATTAGCATGAAATTCTGTGCAGACATCCGTAGTACCCGAGGGAGGAATCCTAATGAATGACTGTGGTGAACCTCGAAACCTGCCAGCAGCTCAGAGTTTTCACGAATGTGGTGAAGTATCTCAACATCCACAAATTAGGATTGGATTGCTCAGTCAATGGATCCGAATAACTTTGATGATCCTTTGGCTTTTCCTCTAGTGCCATAATCAGGTCAAAAATACTGACTGATTCAATACTAATGCTACAAATGACCGACTGCATTGTGGTGTTGTTGTCAGGACATATTCTACAGGCCGTTGTCACGCCATTGTGGACGTTTTGAGGGATGAGTTTAGGTAATTAAGATCATTTTGAGTAATTTACCAGGAAACGACCTCCCGAGCATGACTGTATACTCTTGGTCTTATTAAAAAAACTTTAATAAGTAAAAACAAAACAATACTTTTCTCCCTGAAGTAAGTGATTAATTACAGTGTATGAATTTGAAGGCTTGCAAGCTCATTGAAAATGAGTTAATTAGTTAATTTCTCAGAGAATCCTCACAAAACATCTAAACATGGATTAAAACTGACTAAGTCATTTACAGTCACACATTTGTAGAATCTGGGTCCGATCGACCAGACTTCACAGCTTTTTCAGGATCTTATTTGTTTAAGTAGTGAGTCGAGAACTGGAGCAGTTTGTTGGTGTTGTATCAGCTCGCGGGAATTCTGACAAATGCTTTCAGCTCTGGCTCATTCTCACTCTTCCTCGTTTTTCTTCCTCTCCATTAGTATTTCTGGCTGAAGCTCCTTTCGCCTACTTCCTTAGTGCCAGAGTTTTATGTAATGCTTTGTTGCTGTTCGGGGCCTTTTACGGTCTTTTTGTTCAGCTGGTCAACCCTCCATCTCTCATTCAGTTTCTTCTTACGCTAAACCATATTTCACTTTTTTCTTTCACATCGTGCCATTCTTTTAGTTTGTCACTTTGTCCTGTTCATCATTGTTTACTTTTTACTGAATAGTTTGATCTTGTTAAATTGGAGAGAGTTGAATCCAAATCACTGGACTTTTTATCAAACAGGCTTCTTCACTTCTAAATGTTCTGGGGAAACTGACAACGTTAGCCTTTGCAATGTGAGTATGCTGGCTGTATAGTCCATATGTTGTCAGTATGTTCGCCTCCTCAGAGAATCTTTGACAGATCTAGTCCACCCGCTGTCAGCAGACCGACAAACAATACAAGTATTCATCCTCTCAACCAAAGTTCAGAGAGAGAGAGAGAGAGAATGTGTAAGAAGGCCTCCAATCAGCTTCTTAAAGGGCTTCTCTGTCCCAATCCTGTCTCCCTCCCTCCTCGTCCCTATTCAAACGTATCTCTCTCTCTATCATTGGAGCCAACTGGACAAAATGTACAGTATGTGGTTGTGTGTAAGGGCATGGCCTAGAATGGCCTCTTTTTTTTTTTTCCCTTTCTGTATATTCAACCAGTATCAGATGAACGGATCAACCAGTTTGGGCTGCTTAAATCATCCAGGTGTGTGTGTGTGTGTGTGTGTGTGTGTGTGTGTGTGTGTGTGTGTG